CATTCACAAGCTGTTTCGTGTGCAAGAAAATTGTGCATCAACATTCCTGCATTCTCATTGGCACACATATTTTTCTTACTCTCATTTCTATACGCTCCTTCCTGAAAAAACGTATTTCTTTTTACTTCAGTCTTTTACGCTAGAGTCCAGCACGGGTGCACTTTTTTGTACCCGACACCGAACCGACCCGACTAGTTACCACCCGGAACCGAACCGGACCGAATAAGTTAGACCCGAACCGGTCTACCCAGTTATTTTTCAAAATATGATCAAATTTCTAAACCTTTATTTCATTCAATAAATATAATATGTTTATTTTCGTTCATAAGTAGGGGTAGGATAGTTCATAGTTCCAAGTTCAGATGAACTGGTCAAAAGAACTATTATACAGTTCCTAAGAACGTAACTAATATGGAACTGTCCTACCCCTATTCATAAGTAACAAAGAAAAATATATATTATGTAAAATTACGTAAAAAAAACAAGTGAATCAGGAGTTAGCTGAAGATATGGATCTTGCTCTTATCTCACATCCACACACACACACAAGCCCACACCTACATCCACCTTTCGTAATGCAAGATGTTAATTAACAAAACAATAAAAGCTTTTTATCCGAAACATAACAAAAGCTATTCAAAGAAACTAAACTTTTCTTTATGAAATATTTCAATGACTAATGGGTCGTTTAATCATTATTAGATTTACTGTGACTTCATTTTTCATATTAGTAATAGTATCAGAATAAAATGTTACAAATTTGGTGATGTCATTGGTTGTCGGTTGGGTCGGGTATACACTCCTACCCGAGACCCGAACCGAATTTTTTTTAACGCCCGATGCCCGAACCGACCCGGCGAATTTTACCCGGTACCCAGGTCCGGGTCGGGCCGGGTGTCGGGTATCCGTCCGGTTTGCAGGACTCTAGTATATGAATGGAGTGAGTATGGAGATTGATTGGAGAGGCAACAGAATTTAATTCGAGGAGACGGTCGGGTGGAATATTATTACCCGAATCAAAATAGAACGTGGAATTGTCCTGGAAAAACACCCGATTAAATTGATGCAGCTTAAGACTCATGACTTAACCCTTTGATGTTGGGGCCCATATATATATATATATATACGGACTGAGTTTTTTCTCATATAACTGTCATTACAATCTCATTTAGACTCAACCTAAAAGACTCACCTCCTTTTTTCTTATTTTGCTAATATTATCTTGTCGCCTTCCTGTACCACTATACATATACTCATATTCTCTCTCTTACATTCTGACATGTGTGCTTCTCACTTTCTACCTCGTTCAAATATATTCTCTTTCTTTTTTTTCCTATATGCTTTGTCGTATAAATAAAACTGTCGATTCCCAACGAGAAGTGACATATACTCTGGATATATATTCTCACACGATCAAATAAAATTCTCAATTCTATGCATAAGTTTTTTTGCTAGATACGGCCATGAATATTGATTCTGAAGGTAAATCTGAAATGGAAACTGAAGAAGTTTATTCGTCACACGTAGATAAATAATAATAAAATTTCTTGACGGCGCGGGTGTTATACTCAATCTAGTTCCACACCCTCAAGTTGGTAACAATTTCTTTGTTGCACACAGATTTATATTATATAACATATTGTCGATAATTTGAGAAAAAGAAGAATATTCTTAGCTTTAACGTAATAAATATGGTGTATCTCAAGATCAAAATATTGTATCGCAAGAATGAAAATAGAACTACTTCTATATCTTCTTTTTTTGCCATCCTTATCATAAAGTATCTCTCACTGTTCTTCTCTTTCTATGCAGCGATGCAAGTTCACAGTTACTATCGACAACGTGATTCTTTTTCATTGTTTTACGCAATACTCTTTTGATAGCATGCACATCATACGAAATTAGAATGACTTTTAGAGATTCTTCAGTATCGAACTTCTTTTCGGATATTGACTGAGCACGACTGTATTCCACTGTATATACATATGAATACGAGTTAATCGAAAGACCATGGTGATGGTCAGGGAATGTCAATTGATTGATAAAATGACTGGCTTCGATTAAAATTGATAAGAAAAATCACATGATAAAAGAATTCCTTATGTTATAATCGAATACTTTCCTCATTGACAAGTTTTCTGAAAATATGAATTGTGCTTATTTAAGACACATTCTATTCTATAGTTCTTGTCATAAATAATGTTTGCGATACATCTTCTTTGAATTTATCTAATGATCCAACGTGAATTGTCGTTCAATTTTCTTTTTTAAAAACTGGAGTACTAATTTTACAGATATAGTTATACAATATGTCTACCTACTTATCTATCTAACTACATTGAAAACAAACTGGCAGATCTCTTATTTATTTTTATGAATGACTTCAAGATATTGACTGAAATAACTATTTACAAAAAGCAGAGCAAAAAAAGAAAAAGTGAACAAAAATATATATTGCTTACGTGAAGAACCATTACACACAATAAAGCGAAAAACACAAATCACTGTAAATAATTATAATAAGCGAAGAACAAAAAAATTTTGGTGTTGACTAAGACAAATCAACTCAATATCTTTATGAATTATTTTGATACAATGTTCTGGTCATGTTTATTATACAATTCTGGAGCATTTATAGACTCTTCTTTCACACCCACGGTTTAATTTCACTTCCATTGATAGAAGAGTTGCTTGCTAACGGTCCTTTATAGTATATTGTTGCATTAAATGATGCGACCGCATAAATTGCGCTTGTAGCACAAACATAGACTAGTGCTAGATCAGTGGCAGTAACATTCACAACTGAAGAGCATCGAAACTCATCTGTCAATACCGTCGAATTTTTAGCATAAATATTCGTATTCATACTTGAACAAACATTAAAAACATTGCTACCATTACTTGCAGTTATACTGAAGTTTGAAGGACACGGTTGTGTCGAATTATATACGAAAGTTGAATTGATAACATTAACAATCATCGAATTCAGTGCACAAAACGATAACGTATTATTTACATTAGTTGCAGTTGCAACTGTTATCTGTGGACATAACCATGAAGTATTAGACTCAACAATGGCTAAGTCATAAATTTCGACATCTAATTCAACGTTGGCACATAAATTGGTGATATATGCTTGTTCCGAAGCGACAACATACGCCATATCTGGACATACAATAGACGAATTGATAATCAGCCCTGATGTCTTATGTACATGCATTTGAAGTTCATTATAAGCACAAATACCAGATATTGATAAGTTACTTGAACTATTGACTGATACATATGTTGGACATG